TAAATGAAATAATAATAAAATGATTTCCTTGATAATAAAGTATTATTACAATTATAATTATAATAACTAATTATAAGTATAATTACGCCAACTATGGTTTTATATATTCACTAATTTAATATGGTAACTCATATTTTATGCTAGTTTTGTTTCATGATAGAGAGTTTTTGCTATGGTTACAATCAATAAAATAGTAATTACTGTACTAGTTTAAATTATTTATTTATTTAGAGTTTCGAAACTGAAATTGAAAAACATGTTAATATTAAATTTTATTAAAATTGAATTTTAAAATAGCTATCAACAGCACAATTTTAATTATACCATAAAGTATTTTAAATTAATTATTGGTTCATGCTATTTTTATGAAATAGTTTCCATAGATATACAATATTCAATAAATGCAATTTACATTTCTATAATAAAAAAATATATTACCAATTAATATTGAATTCATTATAAATAATTTAGTATTTTTCAAACCGCAAAAATTTAGCAATTACTAAAAAACCAACTTGCGATATCATATAATGGCAAATAACATAATATGATATAACATGACATGATATGATAATATTATATTATTGTGTTATTCTCAATCATGTTTAGATTAGCTATATTTGTGATTTAAAGTTATTTAAGTAGTTTAATATTTTTTAATTATTTTCCTTATCTCATATGAATCTAAATTATTTGCTTTAATTATAATTATTGTGAATTAATTACATAATAAATTTAATAATATGTATACAGTAATCATATTTATTACACTTTATTTATTGCATATACAGTACTTTAATTACACAAAATTATGGATGCCCTACCAGTGCCAAATAGGTAAACCCCATAAATGTTAGCCTGCACATCAACCCATTCTGTGTTTTATATAGGTTTTGAATTTCAAATAATATTAAACAATTTTGTTGAGTTTGAGTAACTTATTAGTTTGAATTTTAAAATTTAAATTCAATTTTTTATTTTACTTATTCAATAATAATATAATTATATTTATTTAGCAAGTTAATTCAATGAAATACATAGATACATCTAATAAGTTGTAAATACATTTACTTTTAAAAGTAAAATTAACAAATAATTTTATTTAATGTTATTACAAATTATTTGTATTAACCTCAATTATTTCCTAGTTAATTAACTGTAAATATCTTTAGTTAAAAACATTGTATTTAAAATAATTTTTGTTTAGTTTTAATCATACAAAAATATACTTATAGATGTACAGTACTTTATAGGCAATGAAAAAGTATGTTGTCTAATATTTAACTATCTCTTTAAACAATAGTTGTATATTTTCTGTCATTTTATGTATAAATCAATTTATAATCAAATAATAATAGTATTATTAATACCAATACCTATAATATAGGTCCTATATCTGATTGATATGTTTGTTTTAAATCGACACATTTGCCCAGTTTAATTTGCTTAATTTAATAAATATATTGCATTAAGGTTTCAGAAATTTACAAATAAGTTGTAACATTTTCATTTTATTAAATTTAATTAGTCTTTGAAAATTTTCAAAGTAATATATTCCTCAAATACAGTAACACTAAAACATATTTCAAACATTGCAGTAACAGATCATTAGTTAATTATAAACAAAACACACAATAAATTCATTAAAAAACAAAATACAATTTATTCACTGATAATAACTTATGACAGTTTATACTATTAATAGAAATTTCATAAAAGTTTGTAAAAACAAAGTTTGTTATAATGATTTGCTTTGTGAGTTAGGTATGGCAACGAGCACTGAGCTAGGTCGTAACACAAACGATTGACTCCCGGATATATTCACTACATTGACGGGCACCGGGCTCTTAGTAGTCCTACTTTTCTTAATCCGCTTTATATCACTGTTTTTGTAAACTTTGCTCATTTTCTGGCCATTTGGCAAAATTAATTTTGTTTCATTTAATTTGTAATTTTCAATGACTTTTATAATGTAATTATTATAACATTAAATTCTTTAATTGAATAAAAATCATTTAAACAAATGCACACCAAATGCTACATTAAATAAACTCAATTAAAAAATCTTAATTAAAACTAAAAGTCAATCAATTAATTATAAAATAGTGAACACATGTGCTAACTATACCTCTATTACTAAACAACACATTCTTATGTGTAATAAAGTTATCATTAAATCACAAAAATACATAACAATTGTATTCTCATTAAAGTATAGCTGACTGTCAAACAATCATAACATAAATACGGCAATTGTATTGAACTGATCACTGATGTATGCAATCACTGCACATTGATTGGTGTTAGAGTGTGACATGACCATGCTCACAAAGTATAAGCACATTGGATGGTGTTTTCATGGAGCACAGGTAGTCGGTCAGACAGTCTATAAAGTATTGTCGGCATCCCTTGACAACCCCCTGCAACGGGTGTTCATCTCTTTGTCGGGCATTCATACAATTGGGCAAACATTTCATGTCTACAACCATATGATCATCGGTCGGGCATTTCTCGCCACCCGTATGGCCCCGTAGAGGAGCCCTAAAAGTGTGAATAACAGTAAATAACTTAATGTTATACTCATTGTATTTGTAATCCTTTTTGTTTGTAACACAAACTCTCGGTAATTGAGTATATTTTAGTGAAAATATGTTTTGTGGGAAAATGTTAATTAAAAGTAAAATTTATCTACAATTACAAAAGTAGATTAATTTCATTTATACAATAATGATAACCTTTGCAAATAGGCCATCAAATTTAGCCAGTGTCCATAGTGTGTTAAGGGTATGGTATGTGCTAGGTGATATTTACATTTTATAAGCCATGTCATTCCCTAACACGCTGTGGGTGCTGGTTATCGCATCACTATTTGCTATACTGTTCTGTATATTAAATTGTAATCTCAAACATCATTAATATAATGAATATAGAAGGTGTAAATATTGTGAGTTTTTACAAACATGCTGTATTTAATATTATTTATTTAATTTTCAATTTGATTTTGTTTCATTTAATTTGTAATTTTCAATAAAATTTATAAAGAAATTATTGTAACTTTAAATATTAATCAATTGTATAAAAAAGTCATTTAAACAAATGAACATTAAATTCATTTTGAATTCATTGGGAAAAAAGAAATAGGCCAACAGAGCACCGGTGCAGCACAGGGCTATCAACACCAAAAAAATTTACTCAAATATCTATAAATTAACAAAAAAAACTTCATTAGCCAACATTTCAATTAATATACCGCTAAGGACAGGCACAACTAGGACAAGTTTTTGCTTGATTACATCAAAAACGCAAATTCTTGTGTGCGATTCTTGCTTGATATATACTCTGATATCAAATTACCCTGATATTCTACTGTATCACTTGGAAACTGTGACTGAATTGAACTATTATTTCTGTACAGTATTCACTGAATATTCAAATATTGTACTGTACTTTGTTTGTATTTTATTTTTCCAACCGATTTAACATTTAGTGCCGTTTATAATACAGTATTTTATGCTAAATAATGAGCGCGCTTATAATAAGTCTATTGATTTCAAGTGAAGTTAATTGTCGTTAGATTTTCTGCAAATTAATTCTCAAAACATACAAAAACTAGATTTAGTTTAGACTCTAAACCACAGAAATTATGGCCAAAACTAATGCAGCAAAAGATGTGGACTTAGATAAGGAGAGAATCCAATCATATCTCCAGAAGTATTGTCTCAAAAGTGATGACGAAAAGCGATATATAAGCGAAACCATAGAAAACTGCAAACTATATGAAAATCCGGCAGAACTCGAGACAATACTGAAGAGGAATAATGCCCTCAATCCTAACGGCATTGTCGACACCTTTAAGGACATCGATAAGAGACGCAAAGACTTGAAGGCAGTCGTGAAGGAGGCGATGAGGAAGAGGACTGATCTCAAGAGCGACAAAGTGGTGACCGAAACGATCATCAGTTCGTTGGTGTCGATCATACAACAGGAGAAGAACTTCGACACCATTTGCTCGCTATATAGCGATCTGACTGCCAGTCCCTTCACAACTGCTCCCAAATCGTCCGTATATTTGGAGATCGACTCCAAAGACGTGTTGTTTAGTGTGGAAGAGATGGAGGAGTCGGTGGACGCGCTGTACGTCAATGTCCATCAACTGGAACAGGAGGTCAATGTCGTCGACTCATTCATAAGGATAATGGAGACTAAGATTCTGTTGACTCTGAAGTCTAACTCCAAAGACGTCAAGTCCTTTGGAGTCCACAAGAATTACATCAAAAGCGAAGAAACGGTTAGAAGTGATAAATCGGACGCAAAGATAGACATTAAAGACAGCAAAGAGAGTGTCAGTGATAGGAGTGGCGGACCCGTCAAGACTACCCCTAAATGGTCGCCCAAACACTGAACACAACCACTGATATGACTGCAAATACCCCTAAAGTTTAGTTTTTTATGTAAAAATTCAAACTCAATATCTTTTACTGTAATATGAAATGAATTGATTTTATTGTAAAATTATATAATCGATACTCAATTCACTAATTAACACAATATCTCATAAAACTTTTGCACTAATAATATATTGTATACAATAAATGACTTCAAAAACCAACACATTATCCAAACTTTTTTGCCACTCATTCAACCAATCCATACATCATTTGGTTTTTAATTTATAATATTTGACACGAAAATCATCACAACTTCAGCGCCAATCATTCGCACACTCATTATCCCACAACTCAGCCATCAGTTCAACAACTCTTTGAGCTTCTGATCCAATATGTGATCGCATTCTTGGAGCCTATCATCGATCAAATGCTTCAGATTCTGGTTCACATTGAAGATCAACTCCTCGGACACCTGCGCCCTCTTCTGCCTCTTCACATACGCCGCGAACGACGAGTGAATGGCTTTGAGCTCATCCTTGGCCTTCTGGCACATTGTCCGGGCATTAGTGGCCAGACCCTCCCGGTGCTCACGGGTCACCTTCGGGATCGGTACGTACAGCACAGTGCCCTCCTGTTGGGGGCTGAGGTTCATACCGGACTCCGCGAGCGCCGTCAGCACCGGTTTGATGGCCTCCGGAGTGGACGCCATGTTTATGACCACCAATTGGGGTGACTTGCGGTTGATTTGTGCCAATTCGTTGAGACTGTGCTTCTGGCCATTCATGTCCACCACCAGACTGTTGGACAAACCCATGGATCAGTTAGTGGTATATACAAGATATACGATTGTCTTATACTCACTGTTCAATGGACTGCGGATTACTTCGGACGCTGACATTGGCTATCAAGTCCTGTCGGAAGCGATCAGTCACTGAATTCAACTCAATCTTCAGCTCAGAGATTGGTATCAATTCACTCATCTCCTCATCGCTTAAGACTACTTTAGGTTTGGATCCCTTCTTCTTATCCTTCGGCTTGTCCTTCGTTTTGGACAGACATCTGACGGACACCTGATATGAGCACCGATTGCGGTTACTATCACTGAGAAAGGGATTCACGCGTGAGTTCAATGTCCACATAGTTCTTGTAGTGGATGTGATGGCGAGTCGCCTCTGGCAGTGGTTTGTTAGCCTATTGACCACACATTTGGCCGCAGATCTGGTGACATACGAGCGACAGATGAGACAATTCATGGCATAAGTGGTAAACAGACAAACATGTGATCAGTGCTTGTGTTGTGTTTGTGTTGTAGTCATAGCAGTGACTGGCAGTTCACTTCACTGCCTATTTATAGCCAAAACACTTCACTTGACTTTTGCATTGCATTCATAGACTGCAGTGCGACCACTAATTGTCATCAATTTACGCTTAGATTCACTAAACCATGGATTCATTAGTTTTAAACAAATTAAATACATGTTTAAAATCATACTTAAACCCAGTGTCGAGTATACACAGCAGAAAATCACCACTAAATCCGTTACTCAACACTAACTTTACAATCGCATACTTTCCCCAACTTTCGCACTACAAACCTATTATCACTTTTTTATGATACCATACCATTCATACGCCTCCCATTCATAAAACAACAAACACTTGTGAGCATCAAATAGACTCTCACTAACAAAAAACTAAATCAAATCAAACACACATTACAAACACAAGTTGTTACACAACACCACCAAAAAAACGGCAAATTGTGACCAAATATGACATTTTATTATCAAACGCGAGACCAATAATCCAACGATTATTACAAAGAGCTAAGAGTGCATACAACTGTCAATACAATGACAGATCGCATATAATATATGGGATTTGTGTTGAAACCATCGATAACAGAACCACACGAAGAGGTCCTAAACGATAAGACAGGGCTTCTTCTTCTTCTTCTTGACCTGAAGGGCGGCTCTGGTGGCCATCTCGAACACCTCGCGGACGCCCTCCTTGGTCTTGGCCGAGCACTCGAGGTATCCGAAGGCGTTGATCTTCTCGGCCATAAGGCGACCCTGCTCACTGCGCACGGGCTCCTGCTTCATCTTCGCCAACTCCCTGATCGTGTTGTTGTCATTCCTCAGGTCCTTCTTATTGCCCACCAATACGATCGGTACGTTCGGACAGAAGTGCTTCACTTCCGGCGTCCACTTCTCCAAGGCTCCTGCTTCATCTTCGCCAACTCCCTGATCGTGTTGTTGTCATTCCTCAGGTCCTTCTTATTGCCCACCAATACGATCGGTACGTTCGGACAGAAGTGCTTCACTTCCGGCGTCCACTTCTCCATTATGTTCTCCAGAGAGTCCGGGCTATCGATACTAAAGCACATGAGTATGACGTCGGTGTCCGGGTATGACAGCGGCCGCTATACACGCCATAGTCATCGAGATATCAATGGGATTAGTGTCTGTATCGGTGGTATGGGTTTAGTGTACTCACCAGTCGGTCGTAGTCCTCCTGTCCGGCGGTATCCCAAAGGGCTAACTCGACCTGTCGTTCACGTCATAGTCATATAGTGAGTGTCAACAACACAATGGATCAGTCGGTAGTGACAGTAGTGGTGTATTGTATACATACCTGTTTGCTGTCGACCTCGATGTCGGCCACGTAGTTCTCGAAGACGGTCGGGACGTACACTTCGGGGAACTGGTCTTTGCTGAACACAATGAGTAGGCATGTCTTACCGCAGGCGCCGTCGCCCACGATCACCAACTTCTTGCGTATGGATCCCATCGGTGGTCGTCTCACAAAATGGTTAACTCTATGACACTCACAATGAGAGCCACTATACGATTGCAGTGCATATACACAGCGCTATACACACTCGCTATGCATACATACAGTGCATGAGTCATGCCATTCAACACTAGTCTATCAATGGGTGAGGCATAGGGCGGGGATTTTGTGGTGAGTGTTGGGGTGTTTGCGCGTCAGTGGCGCCGACTCAGTGCCCGTCTGTCAACCGCTTTCTCGTTGAGCGCTATTATACGACCGTTAGTACGGATTTTACTCTAACTTTCTGTGTGTAGTGTTTGGGGTGTTTGCGGGGCATATGCGAGGAATTTCAGGGCTTTTACAGCGAGGAGTTTGCCGTCAATTACGTCCTGATAATCCGTTTTTTTACGCAAACGCTCATACAGTACGTGACACGTGTTATGTGGGATTGCATGAGTTTCACGACATTTGGCGCACATTACTATAGAAGTTGGTTCGAAGGGGTGTAAGTAATGGTTTAGTGTAACATTGTTTGCGAATGTAATTAAGCGAAAGTGCAAATAAATGGGAAAATCCGTAAAACTTATGCGAAAAAGTCGAGTACTTATCGTATGACTAATGCTTTGCTTAATTTAATTCAAAAAACTTTTTATAAAACTTTATTATATTATAAAACATACGTAGAAAAGTCATTGAAAAGCGAAACTATAATCACATGAATTAAATACATTGCATAACACGTCCCAAAAAAGGTACTGATAATAGACTAGAGCACCGGTATGTGATGGGAACCAGAAAATTGACTAGCTTAGATTAGCACAGTTTGGTTGCTGTATATAATGACTTATTTGGAGTTTTTGATGATTTTCACCGCAAATCCGATACATATCGTAATGATTAGCAAAACGATGAACACTAGCGACAGGTTTAGTAACCAAAAGGCGAACCCATAGAGCGTTGGGTTACAGTAGTCGGCGCTGGAAGTGGTGTGCGAGGGCTTCGGCTGGCCGTACACCCATATGCCACCTGTCCGTCGGGGGTATAAGCATATAGTTAGGTCAGAGGGGACATGTATGTGGCATAGCATACCGGACACAAAGCAGGCTATTGTGAAGCAGTTGGCGATGAGGTTAAGGGCGCCGACTATACGCTTCCGGCGCTTATATGATGACTGTTTCGGTGGTGAGTACTTGTCGGCCGTATTGATGATATTACTGATACTCATGGATATGCCGGCCATCAATATCCAGATAGGGATGTAGGGCTGATGGGGACAGTCGTCTATGTGTACCAGTGCTATGTGTGGGGAAACAGGGAGTTGCGAAAAGTTTTTGAAAGTTTTAGTTAAGACTTTTATGTAGATATGACTTACCGATGAGTGTCATGAGGAATGGTATGGAAACGGTGACGATTAGGACCCCAATCCACACGACTTTCTCGACATCCACTTTGGATTCACGGTTGGGAACCGATTCGGCCACTAATTGGCCACTCATTGCACGGGATTATCACCGAAATCGCGACAAATATGCGATGAATAGTGACTATTATGTAGCCATTGAATGGGTTATGAAATATGCGTTTCGCTGCGAATGCGATATCAATAATGCAATGATTTTGACAGACTTTTTGCAGATAACCTTATTTTGAACAAACATTTCAATCAAATAAATAACTCATTAGAGAGTCGAGTATATGTAGGCATCCAATGGTATCCACCGATTCCTATGCCTATCATCTATTATCACATAATAAGGGCTCATATTTTGAAACTTCAAACACGAAAACTTCGCCAAACTTTTCCGCAAAACTTTTCTCCGCAAAGATTTCGCTCAAAAAACTCATTAAAAAACTTTTTTAAACTCTCAACGTCTATAAGAAATGCTTACCACACGTGTCCGCCACTCTCATACCAGTGACGTACACACGCAGACACACACCTACCGTTCCCTACCTGTGCAGTTGGCACCTGTGCACACCTGTGCTCACGTGACCCCTACCTGTATGTATGCCTCGCCCTTACAATTCACGCCATTTTTCTCAGTGTTTGTTGTCATTTGAATCCCCAATAGATTCAGCGTTTGTGTCAATACATATGCATCGATAGTGGTAGAGATCCCGTACCTCCCGCGCGAGCCTTCAGCGTATATATCATCGCCGCACCTCTTGTGTCCACCGCGTAATCGCATGAGTCGTACAGACAGACGGTGTCTCTCATACCGTACCATCGCTTGACAGAGACAACTGAGTGGTGCGCGAAGAAGTGGTTTATCTCCTCCAGGAGTGGTTGATCGCCAGCAGCAGCGATGCCGTCGTCCATACACTCGTATGGCGCCAGGAGTACGACATCCATAGCCACCACTAGATCCAGGACTTTAGCTGGAAGTCGTAAAGTGAAGCTCAAGTGGTGGGAGCGGAGGCCCGTCATCCGGAACGCCCTCTTCACGGACTTACAGAAAGGCAGTTATTTAGCGGCCATTTATACCCTGGTAAGTGTGCGCTCACGAGTGTGCATCACCTCGTGGATCACCTCTTGGTGGTTCACATCTGGTCTGGTGTCCAGTGTTTGTGTCTTACAGTGTTGGTGACAGTAATCCAGACATTGATCCGTCGATAGTGTTATGAAAAGTTTTTTAGTGTTAATTGAATTCAATTTTAATTATATTTTTTTGTTTTTAAGTAATATTTGTGTGGTTATTATGACTCTGTGTGTGTGATATCATAGTTACATATTATTATAGTAATTGCAATTAACTTTTATTATGTAGGTTTGAATTGTTTGCTACACTAACGTATGTATGACTGAATTAATTAATGAGTTATACCTGTAGTTGTAGTTACGATAAGTTAAGTGATTTTTGTGATGTGAAAAACCCTTTCGTTTTTTGTGAATCTTTTTTTGAGTTTCAATTTTTATTGAGTTTTCTAATGACTTAGATTTTATTAGATTAGATTTTTTGAAAAGTCATTGAAACGGTGTATTGAATTACACTTTGTGCGAGTTTTTCATTTGTCATATTTATATGTAATTCTGGTTTAATGGGTATTTTATGAAATTCAAGAACTTAAACATGTTTTTTGTGAGATTCAACAACATTTATGATATCATAGCATACAAAAATGTATGTTGGAAAAGAAGTTTTGCATTATAATTTATAATTCATATGCGATTTTAATCTAATCCCATTGAAATACATTTTATGAATTATAAACAAAATTATAAGTTTAGAAATATTTGATAGTGTTTTATATAACTTTTATGGCAAATACGCCAAAAATAATACAGATTTCGTGACTATAATACATAAAATGCATTATGTAGGTTTGAATTGTTTGCTACACTAACGTATGTATGACTGAATTAATTAATGAGTTATACCTGTAGTTGTAGTTACGATAAGTTAAGTGATTTTTGTGATGTGAAAAACCCTTTCGTTTTTTTGTGAATCTTTTTTTGAGTTTCAATTTTTATTGAGTTTTCTAATGACTTAGACTTTATTAGATTAGATTTTTTGAAAAGTCATTGAAACTGTGTATTGAATTACACTTTATGTGAGTTTTTCATTTGTCATATTTATATGTAATTCTGGTTTAATGGGTATTTTATGAAATTCAAGAACTTATACATGTTTTGTGAGATTCAACAACATATATGATATCATAACATACAAAAATGTATGTTGGAAAAAAGTTTTTGCATTATAATTTATAATTCATATGCGATTTTAATCTAATCCCTTTGAAATACATTTTATGAATTATAAACAAAATTATAAGTTTAGAAATATTTGATAGTGTTTTATATAACTTTTATGGCAAATACGCCAAAAATAATACAGATTTCGTGACTATAATACATAAAATGCATATAAAAATCCTTTACTTTTTCTGTAATTCCCATTTTTGTATACGAACTAAAGTTATTAAACAATTGATAGCAATCTTTTTTGTAGTGTTATATAATTTTATTTATTAAATAATAGTGAAAAGGCATTACAATTGATTGACTGAATGCCTGGTGTTTGGGGACAACGACCGGAATTTTGTTGTGTCATTAGATTCGGAAGAAATGTATTGTTATTACAGACTTTCAATACAATTGAGTCAATGAAGTGAATGAATAGTCGCCTACTATTTATGCCGTCAAATATTGTACATTCATATACTGACGTCTCTATACTATTTAAATGACTATTTATATACACAAACACCCCGTGCTGTCTGCCCTTCACAGGCAATGAATGAATGAAAGTGTTTGTGTATTCTTTGCCTAAATATTTAAGCCGTTAATGACAGATGAAAGTGATTTTTGCTTTCGTTTTAATAACTCTTTCCATAAGTTATTTTGTATATAAGATGTGATTATCCGATGCGATGTGACTAATGGAGTGATGAGAGAGAGAGAGAGAGAGAGATTGCAGAATGAGATAATTATTTTGAACCCACCAGACAGACGGTGTAATGAAAAAAATTATTTTCATATTTATTTTTATTCACAATTCTCTCTCTCTCTCTCTCTCTCTCTCTCGCCGACTACTGACAACCACTTCATATGAGTGGCCAAACGGAACACATTTTCAGACAATTGCTAACAAACCATAGGACTGTTGACTAAACACATAGACTTCAATGTCGTTGAGACTGTGTATTGTGTGAGAGTAATATGATTTAGTTTCTCTGTCACGAAAAAAAGTTATGTCAGAAAAAAGTTAAATACAAATAAGAAAATGAGTGGAAAAGCGACGGAAAAGTGAATGATTATTGTTATTAAGCAGTGACTGACAAAACACCTGAAAGTCTGGACAAACGCTTCATTTATTTGTCAAATGAGTTGTGAATGAATTGATTTTTTTTCTCTAATATAAAACTTGTTTTTGACTGTATTTTTTGCGTCTACCTGTCCAATAGATCGAGAGCCTATTCCAGATAAGCTTGGCAATATTTGACACATACTGTTTGGCGGAGGCATCACCCGGTTCCACGCATTTCCGAAGTTTTGGCATTAGTTTCCTATTCGTCTACAGTGGAAACCAGCACAGTATGCATGCCTTTCCCCCTTAATATTAGTATGAATTGTCATGAATTTGATTATAATTTTGTGTTTTGTTTAGTCCGACGGACACTGATAGCCATTGCGGTGATACTGTTCTGTGCGGCCGTCTATTTGCTGGTGTCGTCGCTGATACTGATGACGGCTTTACGCAAAGAACACGAGCAGAGGTTTGTCCACTGGTTGCGAGCCATGGCTTTCTTCATAGTCTGGAGGACTCTCACCATTATCTTCCAGTCCCTCGTAAACGTAAGACTAGATTTTGAATTTGGTTTTCACTGAAATGTTTGCGAATGTGTTTAGGAATTGGTGTCAAAAACTGATTTATAATTTATTATTCTTTACGAACACTTACTATGAGTTTCAATGTATGACTGAATGGAGAAGTTATGCTAAAAGTTATGTTAAGAGTTAATGCGAGTGTTTGTTTGCATTTTTGTTTAGAAATAATAAATAAATTATTGAATTTATGGCTTCGCTTAGGATGTAGTCATTGGAGAGAATATTAATTTATATATTTATGAATATATTTTTCGTAACTTATTTACATATTTTTTACAACACGATTTATAGTATACATTTTATACTGTACGTAAACTTCAAAACATGATTTCCTTGTTATTAAAAATGATTACAATTTAATTAAAATGATTTTTTTGTAAATCCATTTATTTTTAGACACAGTTTTCAAACTATTTTTTATTTTGTAATTTAGAGAGACATGAGCGAAGTGATGGTTCGCTGATTTTAGACAATATATAGCTCTCACTCACTCACTCACTCACTCTCAGACGATATGTCTTATTATTAAAACATAATTAAAGGGTTGTCAACACACAGACTCTAATCACATGCATTTGTATTTACTGTACGTATGTCTACACACCGGGATGGGGAACAGGACCTGTACTTCGGCTACCACCAGGCGATGCTCATCATATGGTTCTTGCTCACCGGCGTCAACGCGTTTGCCTGGCTCATCGTGTACTCCAACTACCAGGAGCTGTCGGACATCACCCGCTTGGAGGACATGGCGAAGCTGAAGATGTCGACCCTATCGTCGCTGAACGCGTCCCGATCTCTGTCCCGGCACAGCCTCGACTCGACCGGTCAGTACAAGATAGGCGCCGGCGGGTCGGTGAGCTCCCAGCCCTCGCCCCAGATCTACCCGCACCACATGCACCACCACATGGGTGGTCAGCCGCGCAGCTCAACCTCGTCGACGGCCAGCTATAGTATACAGCCGTCGCCACGAACTAGTGGTCACAACACGATTCCGATGGCCTGTTATAACCCCAACGGACAGCCGTCGCCCGCGCAGAGATCGCACACGACATCCCGGAGCACACCATCGACGGCGCCGGTGTAACAGCAGGGGGTGGGCTGTCGTATAACTTAAGTGTTTTGTTATAAGATTATTGAATATTTTTTTTAATTAATTGATTCGAGAAATAGTTATTAATTATATTACAAATTGAAAGTTATGTTTATGAACGCAAAATGAGTTGAGACACTCGTAAAACTTATATAACTTATTGAATATGATATATACATTCACACCACATAGACATACCGACACATACCTGTCCGTCCAGTCAAGTGCTTTAAACGGCAAATCCATCTGATAGTTGATAATTCATCCGAAAAATGCATTTTTTTAATGAAACGATTCATTTGTTTATTTGGTTACGAAATCACACAAAATGCGGTCAACTTTTACACAAAAACCGCCGATTTTTATGGATTCTTACAAATTCTGTTGATTTTTTTAAGTATAAATTCATTTCTTATTATTAATTTTACACATTTTTTAATTTTCACAAAACTTTGTGCACATATTTTTTGCTACAAATTAAATGATATGGTAGACCAGTGCTTGAGCTCCTATTGTCACAAAAAAAATTATATAATTATGACTCTGTTTTGTAGTTGTATTTTAAATTAAGTTTTTTTCTCATTGTAATTATATTTGGATTGCAAATAGAGTCATACAATGGATTAATTATTATACTTGTTTTAATGAAAAAGTTATCAAGCACTTGTTTATATTAATATAAATTGTTTTTTACTATGAATGAATTACCACCGGATCTGATCTTGATCTTAAATTCATGTGAATCTCTCCAGAATATTCTTATAGGAATTTTTTATATACACGTATTGTTTGAAATGAAGTTTTTAAATATTGATTTTGTGATCTATTATGACAGAAAATACTATTGTATAACTATTAATTGACCTTTCCCACTTTTTATAAGTATATATATAAATATATTTGTAATTTTAATTAAATTAAAAAGTAATATGTAATGTAAAGCGCCCAGGAGTTGATTAACTGTTTTTTCACGATAGTTAATTTGATTAATATAAAAAATAATGTCTAATTTAAATGCAATAAAAAGTACTTTATTGAATGCAACATTTATATCCTATTGATTCTCAATGTGTTTACCACTACTTGTAAGTATAGTTGAAGTGATCAGTGTCAAACTTTGCACCGACTTTTAATTATTAATTTATTTTAATTAGTGCTCAAAGTTTGCGAGTAATGTTCACGCGATTCATGTGATCAAGTATAAATAAACTTAAACTGAATTGCATTTCATTGCATTTTTGACAAATTGAGAGCATGAATATTATGTTGGTTGCCCACTTATCATGCACATTCTCAATGACAGTGTGTATGAATATACATGAATTAATATATATATATTTAGATTAAATAAATATAAACTCGATATACAGTAATTTATAGCTATTTAAAAAACAAAACAAGACTTTTTGTAGTTATCAGTTGTTTGAGTATTTCTTGAGTAATACTAATCGAAAACAGAATATTATTATTGCTTTCAAATTCTTGTGTAAACATAAGTTTGAGTACATTATGACTCTATATATAGAAATATAAACGGAATTCCATGCATGAAAATATTGTTATTGTATTCAAAGGGATAGGCATATCAAGGTAATCCAGGTATGGATCAGACATAATTGCTCAATACATACTACTGTAGTGTTTTAGGCCTATCATGAGCTCAGGTAATGGATTTTTTGTGGTAATTATCGGCACCAGTCGTAAGTAATCTGTTGCTATGAGCTATCAATTTGTGAACTTATTTTATCGGTAATTATAGAGAAATTATATTCATTTTCAAAAAAGTAATCAAATCTGTGTTTAAAATATGAATTCACTATCAACATAATTAAACACGGTTTTTATTAATATTGTTATTTTTTAAAGGTTAGAGATAATTTGCATTTAAATGATTATTTATAAGCGATTAGGTTTAAACATTATAAAAACATAAATATTACGGTATTAATTAAAAATTATTTAATGATACATGCGAGTTTCAAACATTTTTTATTTAAGTATAAACTAGTTATTTTAATAAATAAATTAATACTAAATTATAATCTACACTATAAATTTATAGTGTGAATTACATTATATACTGAAATATTAATAGCATATAAGTTATCCAGTAAATCACTAATAGACAGAAATAAAAATAGCAATCATTGAGACAAAGTTTACCTGGCCTTAATAATAAACATTTGTTTTATTAATTGATTAGGTAACTGAAACTAGTGAAACCTTTATACAGTACAATATATTTACTTACTATTATCGATACTT